TGCGGTCAAAGACGCGGAACGCCTCCTTCAGCTCCTCCTCCTTGTCCGTCTCCTTCATCTTCTTGGACATCATGTGGAGGAACTCGTTGAACTCGATGGTTCCGTTGCCTATCAGAAATTGGGTTTAAAAAAGCTCATCTAATCATCTAATCACCTCTCACTTACCATCCTGATCAACCATGGTGACCATGTTCTTCAGCTCCGTCTCCGAGGGCCGTTGCCCAAGAGATCGCATCACAATGCCCAGCTCAGTGGCGGTTATCCGCCCGTCGAGGTCCTTGTCGAAGAGCATAAAGGCCTCCTTGAACTCCGCCACTTGTTCCTCCGAGAGTCCGTATTCAGCCTTATAAAGAAAAAAAATAAAACAAAATTTGAAAGTCAAACACAGTAGAACATTAGCTGTAGTTAGAGCTGCGAAAGGGCACGGCAAATTGGCAGCTCTGATTTGATTGATTTCTCTCTGGTTGTGTTTGTTGTGTCTATTTTCCCAACATTTTTGTTGTTTGGCCGCAATCACCACACAATCACCACACTGTCACCCTCAAATTGAGGCAGCAGTAGCGTGCAAATTGAATTCCGCCTATAGGCGCAGTGGGTGAATGAATGGTAATCATCAGAGAGAAGAGCATAATAAAATCACTTTTTTCTTTTTGGTGATTTTGTCTGGCGGCGGCGACAAGACCTCTACTCACGTACTCCAGACAGCATTTTTTGAAAATAAAAAGGGTACCAAAAGTGTTCGACACTTGCTCTTTTGTTTCTTCGATTGAATGACAGCGAGTGCTGGTTCTGGTGGTAGAGGGTACCACACTAGAAAATACTGATTTGCGATAATGAGATACTCCAAACGAAGAGTGAAAAAGCAACAAAAGGAGGAAACCTTTCACATTTGTCTGGAACACACATTCAAGTACAGTGCACATTTGTGAAGCAGAACTTGTGCAGTTTTGGTGTTCCGAACTATGTGGCAGTAAAGTGTGGGCAGTAATGGGCCATTAGTGGCCTCAAACCTGTCGGTGGTGATAATGGTGGTGGTGATCACGGGTAGAGTGCTAACAATTTCTCACACGCAATCGATCTAATTAGTGGCTATCATGTAATCAGGAGCAAGTGTGTTTGGTTTTGTATTTACACAGGCATTACAGAATCCGGTCCCAATTTGTATGCCAATGTCCAATGTTTGTCCCAACTACAACCAACAACCTTGGCCTTTGCCGAATTAATTAGCAAGCACTAGAGGTTCACATTTCGTTCTTTTTTTTCATTGCGTCTAATCTGTTTTTTCTCGCTAAAAGCAGAGAAAAGAAAAATAGAGGGCAAATAGTGCTAATTACAGTCGGTGTGCACTACCACACACT